GCTTCTGCTAACTCTTCTGTATTCGACTGAAGAAGCCTACTGTGTAGGCGAAACGTTTCGGAATAAAGATACCTAACTGTTGCACATGTGTCTTACTTATCAACAGGCAACATTCTCAGGGAACTTAGCAGCAGGCATCATGCTCTGAGAACATGGCAGCAGACAACATGCTCTGAGAACATGGCAGCAGGCAACATTCTCAGGGAACTTAGCAGCAGGCAACATCCTTAGGGAACATAGCAGCAGGTAACATGCTCTGAGAACAAAGCAGCAGGCAACATTCTCAGGAAACATAGCAGCAGGCAACATTCTCAGGGAACATAGCAGCAGGAAACATTCTCAGGGAACATAGCAGCAGGCAACATTCTCAGGGAACATAGCAGCAGGCAACATTCTCAGGGAACATAGCAGCAGGCAACATATTCAGGGAACATAGCAGCAGGCAACATTCTCAGGGAACATAGCAGCAGGCAACATTCTCAGGGAACAGCAGCAGGCAACATTCTCAGGGAACAAAGCAGCAGGCAACATACTCAGGAAACATAGCAACAGGCAACATTCTCAGGGAACATAGCAGCAGGCAACATTCTCAGGGAACATAGCAGCAGGCAACATTCTCAGGGAACATAGCAGCAGGCAACATATTCAGGGAACATAGCAGCAGGCAACATTCTCAGAGAACATAGCAGCAGGCAACATTCTCAGGGAACAAAGTAGCAGGCAACATACTCAGGAAACATAGCAACAGGCAACATTCTCAGGGAACATAGCAGCAGGCAACATTCTCAGGGAACATAGCAGCAGGCAACATTCTCAGGGAACATAGCAGCAGGCAACATTCTCAGGGAACATAGCAGCAGGCAACATATTCAGGGAACATAGCAGCAGGCAACATTCTCAGGGAACATAGCAGCAGGCAACATTCTCAGGGAACAGCAGCAGGCAACATTCTCAGGGAACAAAGTAGCAGGCAACATACTCAGGAAACATAGCAACAGGCAACATTCTCAGGGAACATAGCAGCAGGCAACATTCTCAGGGAACATAGCAGCAGGCAACATTCTCAGGGAACATAGCAGCAGGCAACATTCTCAGGGAACATAGCAGCAGGCAACATTCTCAGGGAACATAGCAGCAGGCACCATACTCAAGGAACATAGCAGCAGGCAACATACTCAGGGAACATAGCAGTAGGGAACATTCTCTCATTACCTCACAATCACTCAATGATTATATCAATTTCCTGTTTCCGCTACGATCAACTGAGTTGAGGATGACAGAATAGACCCCAAGATTCCCCGAGGCTAGACTGGAATACTAATCAAGGGATGGTAGTCCATCCCAGAGACCACAATGGATTACTAGCCATGGGCTGTGTTCTTAGTCTCTCTTATTAAACTGTTAACGGCTTGACAAAGCTCTTGGAAAGCGAAACGTTGCCACAATAAAAATGTCACATTAGTTACACTTGTGGCTTGTGGCCTGGTAGATAAAGCTCTCGCTTCCTTTTAGCACGTTTCAGTAGTTTCTTCTATTTGGTCTTCTTCCTGCTTTGATTAACATGACCTTGCACTTGTTTGGATTGAACTCCAGTAGCCATTTGTTTGGACCTCTTCTACAGCCTCTCCAAGTTTTCTTGTAGTCTGTCTCTATTCTCTCCTCTCCTAATTTTCATCTCGTTAGTTTTACATCAGTAAACAAAGACACAGGATTCAGATAGGTCATTTACATATACTGAAAACTACAAAGGATATAGAACCAGTTCCTGTATGTGTGTGTGTGTGTGTGTGTGTGTGTGTGTGTGTGTGTGTGTGTGTGTGTGTGTGTGTGTGTGTGTGCGCGTGTGCTTGCTTGTGTAAAATACATTAAGTGAATATCTTACGCATGAACGTAAAAATATATGTAAGTGTTTCTTTAATCACAGCCAGAGTGAACAGTTATAATAATGACTGACACGAGTCAGGACGATGAAACAGACGTGTTTGTGAGTGAGAAGGTTACCCTAGAAAAAATGTAACAGGCGTGATGCCCTGTAGCTATGACAAGGAGTGAACAGGAAGGATGTAAAACACAGCAGGAGTGATGACCACCAGCTAGTACAAACAGTAAGTAATGAGTGACGACCACTAGCTAGGACAAGCAGTAAGCAGGAAGGATGCACAGCACAGCAGAGTGACGACCACTAGCTAGGACAAGCAGTAAGCAGGACGGATGCACAGCACAGCAGAGTGACGACCACTAGCTAGGACAAGCAGTAAGCAGGACGGATGCACAGCACAGCAGAGTGACGACCACTAGCTAGGACAAGCAGTAAGCAGGACGGATGCACAGCACAGCAGAGTGACGACCACTAGCTAGGACAAGCAGTAAGCAGGAAGGATGCACAGCACAGCAGAGTGACGACCACTAGCTAGGACAAGCAGTAAGCAGGACGGATGCACAGCACAGCAGAGTGACGCCCACTAGCTAGGACAAGCAGTAAGCAGGACGGATGCACAGCACAGCAGAGTGACGACCACTAGCTAGGACAAGCAGTAAGCAGGACGGATGCACAGCACAGCAGAGTGACGACCACTAGCTAGGACAAGCAGTAAGCAGGACGGATGCACAGCACAGCAGAGTGACGACCACTAGCTTGGACAAGCAGTAAGCAGGACGGATACACAGCACAGCAGAGTGACGACCACTAGCTAGGACAAGCAGTAAGCAGGACGGATGCACAGCACAGCAGAGTGACGACCACTAGCTAGGACAAGCAGTAAGCAGGACGGATGCACAGCACAGCAGAGTGACGACCACTAGCTAGGACAAGCAGTAAGCAGGACGGATGCACAGCACAGCAGAGTGACGACCACTAGCTAGGACAAGTAGTAAGCAGGAAGGATGCACAGCACAGCAGAGTGACGACCACTAGCTAGGACAAGCAGTAAGCAGGACGGATGCACAGCACAGCAGAGTGACGACCACTAGCTAGGACAAGCAGTAAGCAGGACGGATGCACAGCACAGCAGAGTGACGACCACTAGCTAGGACAAGCAGTAAGCAGGACGGATGCACAGCACAGCAGAGTGACGACCACTAGCTAGGACAAGCAGTAAGCAGGACGGATGCACAGCACAGCAGAGTGACGACCACTAGCTAGGACAAGCAGTAAGCAGGACGGATGCACAGCACAGCAGAGTGACGACCACTAGCTAGGACAAGCAGTAAGCAGGACGGATGCACAGCACAGCAGAGTGACGACCACTAGCTAGGACAAGCAGTAAGCAGGACGGATGCACAGCACAGCAGAGTGACGACCACTAGCTAGGACAAGCAGTAAGCAGGACGGATGCACAGCACAGCAGAGTGACGACCACTAGCTAGGACAAGCAGTAAGCAGGACGGATGCACAGCACAGCAGAGTGACGACCACTAGCTAGGACAAGCAGTAAGCAGGACGGATGAACAGCACAGCAGAGTGACGACCACTAGCTAGGACAAGCAGTAAGGAGGACGGATGCACAGCACAGCAGTGACGACCACTAGCTAGGACAAGCAGTAAGCAGGAAGGATGTACATCACAGCAGAGTGACGACCACTAGCTAGGACAAGCAGTAAGCAGGACGGATGCACAGCACAGCAGAGTGACGACCACTAGCTAGGACAAGCAGTAAGCAGGACGGATGCACAGCACAGCAGAGTGACGACCACTAGCTAGGACAAGCAGTAAGCAGGACGGATGCACAGCACAGCAGTGACGACCACTAGCTAGGACAAGCAGTAAGCAGGAAGGATGTACATCACAGCAGAGTGACGACCACTAGCTAGGACAAGCAGTAAGCAGGACGGATGCACAGCACAGCAGAGTGACGACCACTAGCTAGGACAAGCAGTAAGCAGAACGGATGCACAGCACAGCAGAGTGACGACCACTAGCTAGGACAAGCAGTAAGCAGGACGGATGCACAGCACAGCAGTGACGACCACTAGCTAGGACAAGCAGTAAGCAGGAAGGATGTACATCACAGCAGAGTGACGACCACTAGCTAGTACAAGCAGTAAGCAGGAAGGATGTACATCACAGCAGAGTGACGACCACTAGCTAGGACAAGCAGTAAGCAGGACGGATGCACAGCACAGCAGAGTGACGACCACTAGCTAGGACAAGCAGTAAGCAGGACGGATGCACAGCACAGCAGAGTGACGACCACTAGCTAGGACAAGCAGTAAGCAGTACGGATGCACAGCACAGCAGATTGACGACCACTAGCTAGGACAAGCAGTAAGCAGGACGGATGCACAGCACAGCAGTGACGACCACTAGCTAGGACAAGCAGTAAGCAGGAAGGATGTACATCACAGCAGAGTGACGACCACTAGCTAGGACAAGCAGTAAGCAGGAAGGATGTACATCACAGCAGAGTGACGACCACTAGCTAGGACAAGCAGTAAGCAGGACGGATGTACATCACAACAGTGACGACCACTAGCTAGGACAAGCAGTAAGCAGGACGGATGTACAGCACAGCAGGAGTGACGACCACTAACCAGGACAAGCAGTAAGTAGGAAGGATGTACATCACAGCAGTGACGACCACTAGCTAGGACAAGCAGTAAGCAGGAAGGATGTACAGCACAGCAGGAGTGACGACCACTAGCTAGGACAAGCAGTAAGCAGGAAGGATGTACATCACAGCAGTGACGACCACTAGCTAGGACAAGCAGTAAGCAGGAAGGATGTACAGCACAGCAGGAGTGACGACCACTAGTTAGGACAAGCAGTAAGCAGGAAGGATGTACATCACAGCAGTGACGACCACTAGCTAGGACAAGCAGTAAGCAGGAAGGATGTACATCACAGCAGTGACGACCACTAGCTAGGACAAGCAGTAAGCAGGAAGGATGTACATCACAGCAGAGTGACGACCACTAGTTAGGACAAGCAGTAAGCAGGAAGGATGTACAACACAGCAGGAGTGATGCCCACTAGCTAGGACAAGCAATAAGGATGCTCTCACATGGTAGGATCTTTTTCAAAGATCCTCACTTAGGATCCTCCCGAGGCGGTCTGCAACACGTCTTGGAGTCCCAGCAAAACTTCAGGAACTTTATTTTTGTTGAAACAACTCGAGTTTTTACTCTTGAATTTGATGTTTGTTTCAAGAACTTTATTTTTTCTAAAAACTTGATGTTCGTTCTTAGAACTTAATGTTTGTTTTAAGAATATTACTTTTTCTAAGAACTTAATTTGTATTCTTAGAACTTCATTTTTCTTCTCTCTGCTTCGATAATTGAAATTAACATTGTTATTAGCAGAACTTAGTGTTCCCTGACGCGGTCACCCATCTAAACACTAATCAAAAATAATGTTGCCTATTTTTGATGCTTAGTACGGATGGGGGAAGCTGCGGCGGTTTAGTGTTCTGTAACAGTTCTGGGATGGTTGTTGTGACTGCTGCATCTCATGGCTGACTTGAGCACGATAACCAGGTGAGTCAGGACGACACGATGCACTGATACTGTGTTACACCCACCACTCCTCACCCCACACTGACTCTTACCTCACCTCTTCCCCCGCACCTGCAATGTAGGCACCTCCCCACCCTGACACACCTCCACCACAGTGGAGGTGTGGCAGCCACTACATTACTGCCATACCTCCACCACAGTGATACACATCCACTGCATTACTGCCATACTACTACACTCCCACACCACCACTACATTATTTCCCACCACCACGGTGCTGTCTCTCCCATACATCTTAAAATCACCCAACCTACGCCATCCCTCAATGTCTGAACACCCAGACAGATCCAGAACATAAGAAAGGAGCATTGCAGTAGGCCTACTTGCCCATGCTAGGCAGGTCCTAATCACCTACTGGCCCAAGGTAGTCAGGTCCAACTCACACCCACCCACGCACTCATGCAAATAGAAGATGCAGTCTATTGCGAATGACAGATTTCTGCGTGGTATGCCATTACAGACAGACGAACAGACAAATTAAAAGCACCAAAGTACGAGGAAGAAGAGAAACCACTAAGCATCACAGCCCTGACACAGACAAAGTTCTCAGCAATACATCATTCCGTAAGGGATACCACACAATGACAGAGAGAAAAAAGGAGTATCACTTATGATCAGAAACCAGTGGAACTTCAAGGAATTGAAAAACACGAACATGGGTGAGACCAATGGCTAAGTTGCGGAAACGATAACAGCTGTTCGACCCTACATAACTGCATCAGTGGTAATAATAATAATAATAATAATAATAATATTTTCTGTTTGTGAAGTGCTAAGCTAGTGTGGATCATTCAAGACAAGATATACTGGAGGCACAGCCCATCGTTCACTAATTGGGAACACGCGCTGCTAACCTTCAGTACTCATCCTCTCTGAGCAACAAACACGAAGCAGGAATACGAGAACAAAACCAGTGCCACGATACACATTTTTGGAACTACCAACACAAAAAACGTAACGATTTGTAAGGGTTATTAGTCAATAGGAAAGATACTCTCAAGACTATTGAGGACCAACAATATGAAGAGCGAGACTTTTTTTTTTTAAGAGTTACGACGGCTTATATCATGTAAGTCGTGAAGAATGGAACTGGTGGAGTCCGCACTGCAGAACTACTTGACTCAGCATGTAGAATAAACACAAAGAAAAAGAAAAGACAATGAACTGGAGTAACTGGATCTGGTCTTGAGAACCGTGGGAAGCCGGTGACCACAATGTCCATTAGAAGCCGGTGACCACAATGTCCATTAGAAGCCGGTGACCACAATGTCCATTAGAAGCCGGTGACCACAATGTCCATTAGAAGCCGGTGACCACAATGTCCATTAGAAGCCAGTGACCACAATGTCCATTAGAAGCCGGTGACCACAATGTCCATTAGAAGCCGGTGACCACAATGTCCATTAGAAGCCGGTGACCACAATGTCCATTAGAATCCGGTGACCACAATGTCCATTAGAATCCGGTGACCACAATGTCCATTAGAAGCCGGTGACCACAATGTCCATTAGAAGCCGGTGACCACAATGTCCATTAGAAGCCGGTGACCACAATGTCCATTAGAAGCCGGTGACCACAATGTCCATTAGAAGCCGGTGACCACAATGTCCATTAGAAGCCGGTGACCACAATGTCCATTAGAAGCCGGTGACCACAATGTCCATTAGAAGCCGGTGACCACAATGTCCATTAGAATCCGGTGACCACAATGTCCATTAGAATCCGGTGACCACAATGTCCATTAGAAGCCGGTGACCACAATGTCCATTAGAAGCCGGTGACCACAATGTCCATTAGAAGCCGGTGACCACAATGTCCATTAGAAGCCGGTGACCACAATGTCCATTAGAAGCCGGTGACCACAATGTCCAGTAGAAACCAGTGACCAGTGTCCCGTGTTCATTGACTACAGTGTCTCGTGTCCATTAGTAAAGTGTCCCGTGTCCATTAATAAACAGTGACCACAGTGTCCCGTGTCCATTAGTAAACAGTGACCACATTGTCCCGTGTCCATTAGTAAACAGTGATCACCGTCCCAAGTAGAGGTGGCTCGTGGCCTGATAGACAACGCTTTCGCCTCACATACTGAGTGTCCGTGGTTCGATCCCCGGACGGGTGGAAATATTGGGCGTGATTTTCTTACACATGCTCTCCCCGTTCACCTAGCAATTATTATTACTATTATAATAAAAAAGAAGCTCTAAACCACAAGGGCTATACAGAGCTGCGTTCACCTAGCAAGTAGGTACTTGGGTGTTACACGACTGGTGTGGGTCGCATCCTGGGGGGAAAAGGACCTTAATGGAAGACAGTTCTCGATGACGCGCTGACTTTCTTGGGTTATTCTGGGTGTCTAAACCTCTGGGAAAAGCTTGTATGCAGTGAGTGTGACGCATTTCCATGATGCAACTAACTCCAAGTCAGAAATACAAATACAAGTTTATCTCAACATGATACATTGTTTATACAGAGAAATGGTATGGTGGTACCAACAAGATGTGGAAACAGACATGTACAGTTCAAGACATTTATTAAAGGAAACGTTTTGCTGCTGGAGACCGCAGTTTGAGAACAATTATACGAAAAGAACTTCAATTGAAGTTTATTGACTTAAGACTCGGAGATTGACACAAGTCAGTCAATCTATCATCATTCCATCATGCAAGAGGAGCCACATGTCTATGGTGCATCCAACAAGATAAGCAGACTCTTGGATGTCACTACTGCCCGGCTCCGGCTGGGTTACAAGTATCTTTGGCAGGTTAAATCACCACCACCAGATGTAGACCAAACGAAATGTTCAAGAAATGGCAAAGTATTTTATCCACAGTGGCATATTACAGACCATTCTGGAGAAATACCCTGACTTTGCTAGCTGTAAATAAAGCATTACCGTGTGTGTGTGTGTATGACCCACTTAATATTTGTATTTATAACTCATCACAATTGTGACCGGGTGTGGACGTATCACTGGCTCATTACTTTGTAATTAACCATGTATAGGAGTGAGGATGATTCATTACCTTTGTAACTTGTCGTGATTATGACCAGATCTACCTGAAGCTCATTACCTTTGTAACTAGTTCAGCTATCATAACTTAGGGGTCCAGTCCCTGGACCCATTATGTACCTCTGTAATCTTTTGACTACCGCTCACAGGATGGGTATGGTGTACATAATAAACATTACACTAACTAACATGATGTTGACTGGTCCTTCTCAAACTCAACCCATCTTACCACAACTGTAATACTACTGCTACTACCCACACGATCTTCCACCTAACTCCTGCCACAATATATACTCGTTTCTTAGATATCTCTGTATTAGGAATGATGAAGCCACTCGTTGCGAAACGTTTCTTTTAATAAATGTCATGAACTGTACTTAAGTCTTTCTTTCATTGTTTATACAGAAATGGGTGACATTTGAGAGTATGTTGAAAGCCCATATTAATCGCTGGGTAACAGGGGCTGCAGGTGTTAGTAGACTTGTCCACACGACTCTCCCTGCTCAGTATTCAACCAAGATCCATTCCGTTGTGGGAGATGGGCAAGGAATTGTGACTGTGTGTAGGGTTGTGCGGGCCATGGTGGGAGGAGGGGTGCTATCAGAGACTGGGGGTTGGTGGGTTAGGAGAGAGGAGGAAGGGGGGGAAGGATAACGGGAACAGATAACTAGGAATTTTGTGGAAGGTGAGGGGGGATTATTATTATTATAATCAAAAAGAAGCGCTAAGCCACAAGGGCTATACAGCAGGTGAAGGGGGGGGGGAGATTATTATTATAATCAAAAAGAAGCGCTAAGCCACAAGGGCTATGCAGCAGGGGGGGGGGGAGAGATGAGGAGACAGAGGGAATGTAAGACGGGGAGGAAAGAGGGGGAAGGAGAGGGAGAAAGAGGATATTATATAATAAATCATGGGGGAGCGCTAAACCCGTAGGATTATACAGCACATGTGGTGGAATGGAAGGTATTAAGGCTTAATTTAGGGAGCTGGAGCACAGATCAAATTCCCTAGATCAAGAACCCCTCACCAGCGTCAAGGAACCTTTCTTGAAGGGAAAGTAAGAGGGAAAAATGGAAAGGGAAGAGATTATTATTATAATCAAGGGGAAAATGCTAAACCCGTAAGATTATACAGCGCCAGTGGGGGGATGTGGAAGGTATTCAGGTTTAATTCAGGGAACTGGAGCATAGATACAATTTCCTAGATCAAGAGCCCCTCACCAGCATCAAGGAACCTTCCTTGAGGGGCAAGGAAATGGAGAGGGAGGGCAGGGTAGCTCAGGGGAGGTGGAGAAAACATTCTCGCCAGGTTGGGCCTTGACCTCATCTCCTTACCCCTTCTTCCTTCCTATCCTCCCCCCCCCTTGCTCACCCATACCAATAATATTTATCAGTGTGCTTTATACATGCTCAGTGTATAAGCCTCAGTCACCACATCAGATATATTGCACACATATTCTTGTGATTATATAAATATTTTGCATCGACTAGATGAATGAACTGGTACTTTATGTGGCTTCATCCCAATAATAACCAATGTTTATTTTTCAATGGCAAGATGATGCTTAAACAATGACTGTTTTCACTATGACTGCTCTCACTGAGGAATATGCATTATGTGGTCAGTGGTCAGTCGTCAGTGGTCAGTGGTCAGTCGTCACGTGAGGTCACAGACCCTGAGCTGCTTTGGGGATTAGCGTGGACGGTTACAAAGCATGGCTTGCTTCTGCAGTGTTTTAAAAACTGAGTTTGGAGAGTTGAAGGAGGAGGTCTTGCTTCTCCAGGAGGAGATTAGGAGGCTGAAGGTCCACCTCAATGGGCCTGGGAGAGTGTGTGAGGTGGTTGGAGATGTGGGGAATGAGGCTTCTAGCAGTGAGGTGCAGTCTGTCTCTCACTGTGAGGAGGCTGTAGGTGGGGAGGTAGCAACGGGTACCAGCAGTGAGGTGCAGCCCAGCACCTGCTACAAGTGGCGAGTTGTTCACAGTAATGGGAGGCGCATCAGAGTAAGGAAAGTTAAGAGTGAAGATCTGA